ATAAGATATCTTATAGAATATTATATAGTTATCTGGAAATAATCTTTTTTATTATGAAAAATAAAAATATAAGTTATAAACAATTTAAAATTAAATATTAAAATATTTTATTAAGTGGATGTTTTTCAACACTATAATAAGCATATAGATTTTAATGAAAATTCATATAAAATATTTTAATGTTTGATTTAGGTTTTTTACAACTATTAAAAATAACTTATAATATTATTTTAGAATTAATAAAATAAAAAATAATAATTATTCGTAAGAATATTATGCCCGCATATGCGGGCACAACACCTAGTCTATACTATTATTTGCGAAGTGATTTTTTGCAACGAAGCTCTCACGTTAAAAGTTAGAGCGGTTAATATCTATTTTACCCTTAATGAAATTTTATATATAACTAATTTTATGATTAAAAACGAAATTTAAAGTAATAATAATGATAAGAATTATCCATAATCTAAATATATATTTAAAAATAAAAAGATAATTCCTATATATATTGTGTTGTTATCCGGAAAATAAATTTAATAAAAAAATTTCAAAAACACAAAACACATAAATAAATATTAATTAAGTAAAAAATTCAATTGTATATAATTAAAAAAAAATAAAAAAAAAATTATAATACGTAATTATTTTCAAATTAAAAGAATATAATAATATAATATAATGATATATATATATTTGTGAAGTTATTTTCGCCTATGGGCTAACAGGTTAAATTAAGTTTATTTTTATATTTTTATATATAAGTAATCCTTAAACATGAATTTATCATAATAAAATAAAAAATCATTCAAAAAACAAACGTGTTTGGCAAAAATAAATTTTAATTGTATTATTATCTAAACTAATATTATTCTTTTTGTAAGATCAATTTTTAAATGTATATTTATCGATTCAATTTTTCAAATTGAAAGATAGATTTATATATTTTTATTAATTAAGAAGAAAGGAAATAGTCTTTAGATTTTTTAAAGTTTAAAAGGAAGAAGTAAATTTTTTTAATTTGTGAATAAATTTATCATGTAAAAAAAATTAATGTTTTAGGTTAAATTTTTTGGATGTAAATATCATTTATTTTGATGATTTTAAAATAGATTTAAAGATAATTAAGCCCGCGTGTGCGGACAAAACACATAATTCGTTAATACAAGCGGATTTGAACAAAAATTACTTAATTTCAGAGATTCTTACTCAACTTTGCTCGATCTATATTCTTGGCATGCTCTCTACTAGATCGGGACCAATTCCCCAAGCAACGGTTGCCGTTTTCAACCATCATCGATAGGTCTTAGGTCTTTCCGGACTGTTTTTGGAATAGGTAGTTTCCGATGAACTCACCCAAAATTGCATGTACAGATATATCTATGTCGTAATCATATTTCAATGATAGAGTTCCTATTCTTCATAATCTCGGAGATATGTGTTTCCACAGCGAATGAGTCAACGTGACTATGTCCAACATGGATATTTCTAAACACGCAATGAATTGGTTCAACCCTTAGAGATAGTTAATAATTCAACCATAGTTTAAGAAAAATATAGATGATTAATTTATTCAACCATAGTTGATGGTGAGGTAATTAGACTTGAAGCAAAGGGTTAATTACTTTAATTTTATTTAAAAAAGCAGCCAAATCTCTTTCGCTTGTAAGTTTCTAGGACAAAGATCACAAACGAGGAATATGCTATAATGGGTCCCAAAAAGGAGGCTTTCCACGTGGAGATCACGAGCATCGCTAATCGATCATGTGCCTTCACCACTCCTCCGCCTATCAACGACAGAATCCGTATTATTATTTGAAAATATTACATTGTAAGACAGTTTTAAGTTTTTAATATCACTATAAGGCAGTTATGATTATTGAGGTAGTTTTTGTTAACTATAAAGTAAATCACTTTTAACTCTTTGACTAACTAGAGAGAGTTTACTAACGAGGACTTACTTCCACCACTCATCTTTCTCCCATCTTTTCTCCTTTTTCCCTTTTTCTTCTTCCTCTTTCATTCTCTATTTTCTTAGAAAATTCACATCTGATTCTTAAATTTCTTTTCTCGATTTTTTTTTATGAAATTCTTTTCTCTATTACTCGATCTATCTTTTGAGATCTGTGAAGGTGCATTTCCGATGTTGGTGTACACCTAATTTAATGTACACATGTTATTTTGTGTACGCTTTTTTGACATATACATGTGTACATTCAAAATGAACCAATATATGTGAATAAGTTGTGTACATAAGATAGATTGGTGGTTGCTTACTAAACAAATACGAAACTACATAACAATATGCATACATATGGTTTTGTGTGTTATTCATATCTAATGATTTTAGCTTTGTTCTTACTGATGATATTCAATAATCTGTGTACATGTTTTATTGGTGTACAATTGAGGCTATAACTAAATGGTATCTATGTTATAGATTTACGTATGTACATTCAAATCAATCATTTAAATCTCCTTATATTATATGTACTTAACATGCATAACCATCTGTTTTACTAATGATGGTAAAAATGTACACATATAATCTTTGTACACATGTGAAAATATGTACGTGTGTGCATCTCTAGTGTTCATGTGATTTTTTAATAAAAATAATAACTTGTGCAGTGTACAAAAGAATTAGTGTATATATGATTTTCTATAAAACATTGTATATGTGGACATGCGATTTTTATAAAAGAGCTACTATACATGCGAACTAGTGTAAATGTGATTTATAAAAGAAATAGTGTACATGTGGATTTTTATAAAATCGTTAGATATCATAACTTTTTTTGTAGATGGATTTGTGTGCATCAATGATTTATTTGGATTCAAGCAACAAAAAAATCAGAGTGAGCAAAAGCTATATTCCTCTTGTTGGAAAAACAATATATAGCGTTTATGTATTCTTGTACAAGTTAACTTTATGTACATGTGAATCATTTTACATGTGGATGTATTTTGACATTAAAATGTATGAAGGTTGTTCACTTTATTCATGTACACGAACAAAAATACATACATAATTTATGTACACATCCACATCATCTGAATTATGTACACGTCACACTCAATGTACTCGTGTACACTAACATTATGTACACAGACACGTCATCAATTTTTTTATTAGTGGCAATTTTGTAATAATTTCATCTTCTTTATATTAGGGTTTTCTGCGTTTTCTGTCAAAGTCTCCATTGGTTTTTATCATCCAATCTTCATTATTTCTATGTTTTTACCTTCAGAACTTACAAATCTTATACAAATTAACGGATTATAACTCAAGACCCAAAAAAAAATTTTAATTTTCAAATTTGGAGAAATTAGTTATATGGTTTCGGGTTGGTTTATGGTCCTCTTCTTACGGATTCTTTGTAGGAGAAGTAAAGTGGATGTTGAGAAGATTGAGCTATTAACGGATTAGAACTCAAGATCCAAAAAAAAAAAATTATTTTTCAAGTTTACAGAAATTAGTTATATGGTTCCAGATTGGTTTCTGGTCATCTTTTACCGTGGTTCTTGTAGGAAGAGGAAGATGGATGTGAAGAAGATTAAGCTTTAGAGATAATTGTATGAGTTAAGATATAGTTAAAAAAATAGTAACTAAAGTTATGCACATAAACCAAGACTAATGAGAAAAAGTTAGAAATATAAAGATTTAGTTAGAAATAAGTGCTCTAGGAGCATAAAGTGTCTTAAAGTGATATTAAAATCTTAAAACTGACTCTCAGTGTAAAATACTCCTATTATTTTAAGTAAATTTACTTACAATTAATTAATTTGGCTTCTGCAAACGGAAAATGACGTTGCCGATTAAACGTCATCTCCCTGACGTCATTTGCCTCCAACCTTATTTAACAGAGAGGCGACGAAGTACTAGCGAGTAAAGGCTACACTTTAAATCTCAACATGCAATAAGATATGTTGCAATACGACTATAGACATTGGTTTGCTCGAATATTTAAATCTAAAGGTTGTATTATAAATTCAAAATGTTGAAAGTCGCACTTTACACATTCACAAGCTTTTAAATAAATTACTATTATTTAAAATTTTAGTTAAAGAATACTTGTATAGTTAACCAATGGCTAAAAAGAGCAAAATTATCAGTGATGGTAACAATTTAGTAATTAATATTCTTTAAAATGTGATTGCTGTTGATTAAATATTACTTTGGCGACGCATGCAAAGGTTGGTGCTTGACCATAATTAAAAAGGAAAATCTAAACGACTACTTGCCCTATAAGGCTACGATAATAATTTAAAACAATGTATAACAATTGAACTACTTGCCCTATAAGCATAAGATTTCTAAAAGGTAAAAAAATATAGATACCTTTCAAAAGCTTTTATAAGATATCTTCAAAAATACAATGTTAAAAAAAAAAAATCATTTTTCTATGGTTATAATAACACAACGGTTGCCACTATTTGATTAGGCCAAAGTTCGAAAGACTCTCGAGACGTGGTCCCAAAGTATTTTTCAATTTGCATCATAAAATCCATACTAGTTTTGACTCAGTCCAGAAAACATGATTATAACAATTGTTTTTTGGTAATCATGTTAATTTGATTAAAACAAAACTGTCTAGCTAGTTGTCAACTACGAAGTCAATAATCTTCACTACTATTTGATACATGTAGCTTGGCTTTCATGATGCATGTAAAGCTCTGTCAATTATTAATCAAATGTTTACGATTTTTGTGAAAGGTAAAACTTTCCACTTCTATGGGTACTCTGTCTTTTTTTTTTTAACACAAAACAAAAGAATAATAATAAAAGAATTACTTGTCGTTATAGCTATTCCATTCACGAAGGTTCGTTGAATTTACGCACAAAAGTTATTTTATCACTTATTTAAATGCAAATAGACTTTAGTGATATTTTTTTCCTTGATCTTGATGTATATATAAATAGTATATCTCCTTAACAAGATCCTTCTCCTCTTAACTTCAACAGCCGCAACAACACTATACAACATTCTTGAACAAAGAAAATGATCTACCCTTCAAACATTAACCCTAGCTTCACAGATTTCGCTGAAACTTTCAAATTCGATGATTATGATGATGATGCTTTTCAGATGATCATGGAAGGAATCAGCCTCGAGGATCATTCGCCCACTTTGAGTTGGACTTCGTCAGAGAAATTACTTGCTACAGAAGTCACAAGCCCGCTTCAGACAAGCCTAGCTACCTCACCTATGAGCCTTGAAATGTAAGTCAACTTTTATATCATACATTTTAGCATATATTGTTGATGAATGTTCTAATAAAAAGTGATATGTTCAATCTATGATAATTTTATGCAGAGAGGACAAAGATGAGAGCAAGAAGAGGAAAAGACGCAAAGATGATCAGGTTATTCACGTGTTTAAAACGAAATCAATTAAAGAAGCTTTAGATGACGGCTACAAATGGAGGAAATACGGCAAGAAGCCAATAAGGGGTAGTCCGCATCCGAGGTAAATCATTGGTTCTAACTTCGTATAGGATTAGGGCCCTATATTGGATGCATACTGATTCATATCTATTTCTGATTATTGACTCGTACATGCTTTATATTTAAAGTTTAGTCGACAACTTGGATAATAGCTAGGAGATGCATCTTGATTCTTGCATATGCTATAGTTTCTATTATGAGTGTCGATTAATAAGTTCTCTCTAATACCTCAGATGCGTAGGTAATATAAAATATAATATGGTTAGTGTTCCTTCTTCAGAGGAGATGTTTCTTGTTCAAATGCTTATTGCTATGTGTGTTTATGTGCATATACTCCTTCTGTTAACTGAAAATATTTTAAGGAAAAAAAAAACTGAAAAATGTTTTTGTCCTCCAATTTGGTGTCCACTCCTAACAAGTTGTGCGATATAAGCTTATAACAATTACCACTTGAGAATATCAAACTTAAGTCTTTTGTTGTATGTTACCTTCGATCTTAAGTGGACATATAAACCACGTTATGCTAACATCTTTTATTAACACACTATGGGTTTAAATAACGTAACTGATTATAATCAAAACATTAAATTACAAATCATATATAATCTTATAGAGTTATACTAAATGATTGCTGTTAATTATTTCAAACAGGCATTATCACAAGTGTTCGAACCCCAACTGCATCGTGAAGAAGAAGATCGAGAGAGATACGACCAATCCGCAATATGTGTTGACAACCTATGAAGGGAGACATAACCACCCAAGCCCTTCTGTGGTTTATTGTGATTCAGACGACTTTGATCTTACCTCTCTCAACACTTTGTCTTTTCAGACACATACTAATAGTTATTCACATTCCCCTCCATGACCATACCTGCAAGATTGTGAATATAGATATGTGTATATAGTATATATCATCATCGCAATCACGCATCACATGTATCCCCACATCACATACATTGTTGTATCGGTTTTGTACTTGTACTTATGGTCTTATTTGGGGTGGTGTGATGGAAATCATCTTGTATGTCAGGTATGATAATAGTTTTTGTATATACTATTTAACTAATTTCTACATGATACAACTCTTTATTTTATTTTTTTGCTAAATTGTAAATATAAAGGAAAGTTGAAGTTTTACATAATGTTGGAACTCACCATGTCAAGCTCTAACTTAAGTGCATCAGGTAAAATCTCTATAATATTATTTGAGAAGTCAGTTTCCTACGTGTCGCGCTCACATTAACTCTCGTGATGGTTGATTACATAGATACCCTTAATGAATTGTTAGATTTTAAGATTATTATTAATTTCTTTTTGTAATTTCTTTTTTACATTTTTCCAAATAACAGATATAATAAAAAGGAAATATTTCTAAAATTTTTATAAACGAAATTTTATTTATATAACATGACTTTATTAAAAAGGAAAGTTCACAAAATAGTAATACCCCACTAATATATATTTTAAATAACATAAAATATATTTTCAAAATAATAAAAATATATATGTTCGTGAACATTCAAAAATTTATCAGTTACAGTTTGTTTTCTAATATTGTTTAAAAATCAACATATAATTTGACAAATATTATGAAAATATGATTTGAATTGACTTAACTAAAATAAAGAGTAAATAAATATTATGAAAATACATGTATATTTAAGCAATACATAAAACTAATCTGATTGGACTTAACTAAAATAAAAAGTAATTATATTTCAATTTTAATTTAAAAATATATTTAACTCAATATACTCACAAAATGAATAACTCGACTAATCTAATTTATATCCAAATTAAACATCTAACTACAATAAGAACATATAATTTATAATAATAATATATTTAATTTTATAATATTATTTGAGAAGTCAATTTCCTACGTGTCGCACTCACGTTAACTCTCGCGATGGTTGATTAGATAGATACTCTTAATGAATTATTAGATTTTAAGATTATTATTAATTTTTTTGTAATTTCTTTTTTACATTTTTCCAAATAACATATATAATAAAAAGGAAATATTTCTACAGTTTTAAAACAATTTTAAAAACGAAATTTTATTTATATAATATGACTTTATTAAAAAGGAAAGTTCACAAAATAGTAATACCCCACTAATATATATTTTAAATAACATAAAATATATTTTCAAAATAATAAAAATATATATGTTCATGAACATCCAAAAATTTATCAGTTACAGTTTATTTTCTAATATTGTTTAGAATAAACATATAATTTGATAAATATTATGAAAATATAATTTGACTTGACTTAACTAAAATAAAGAGTAAATAAATATTATGAAAATACATGTATATTTAAGCAATACATAAAACTAATTTGATTTGACTTAACTAAAATAAAAAGTAATTATACTTCAATTTTGATTTAAAAATATATTTAACTCAATATACTCACAAAATGAATGAATCGGCTAATCTAATTTATATCCAAATTAAATATCTAACTACAATAAGAACATATAATTTATAATAATAATATATTTAATTGTATACATATAAATTAGAGGTTTACTCAAAGCATATTAAAAAGAAAAAGAAAATATTAACCAATTACAATTTAATTCTTTTGTAGAATTTATATATATGCATGAGACTTAAAAATATTATCATTATATTCATTTATGTAATTTTGAATCAAGCACTTCAACTTATTATTTATTTCTTTTTAAGCACAATATATATTAAGTTATACATAATTTAACCATAGTATATTTACATATCTAAGAATATATTTACATATCTAAGACAATAACGAACCGAAATGAAATAAGAAAATTAATCAAAGTTTTATTATATTTAGAATAAAAATATTATAGCTGAACTCGAAAAATAGATATTATTCAATATACCAAATTGATATATAAACCGACTATTAATCCAAAAAATAATTAAATCAAAAATAATATATCCAAAGTCATATGTATAGTTAGAATAATATAATATATTAATATAAATTATAAATATAAATTGATTCAAAACTAAAACTAAATATCAATTAATTATTATAAAATTTTACTTTTATGAATGTTCATACCCGTGCATGAGCACGGGAAAATCACCTAGTAAAAAAATAGTTGTCGGTATAGCTTACGTGTGATACGATCATGTTTATAAACTAGAAAGAACAAACGAATGTATACTAATGTCAAACTTACTAATGAGACGCTCTTTTAGTTAGTAGTTTACAAATGTCGTAAACTCGTAGGGATTGGCTGAAAACTACATGAATTTCAGGATCCGTTTAACACCTAATATGCACCTACCAGAATTATTACTAACAATGGAACAACTGTCACAATTCACAAACCCTAGCAAAACACCATCCATTTGTCGCACCTGATTGACTGAGTCAGGTAAGATTTTAGATGTTACACCTAATATGACTCATGGTTGTATTCAAGGAATCTCACTCATTTCGAACCCCCATTTGGATAATGGATTTTGCAATGGGCCTCGCATACAGAATTTTGTTACTGTTATGTGTGTACCGCATCGTTGAACAACGTTTCTATTCGGAGCTACCTATAAAAGTTACATAAAACAAATCATATAGAAACAAGTATTATGATTTGACAGCTACATGTTCTAGTAATGTCAAAGACTAACGAAGAGAGGAGAGCTTGTGAAAGCAACCTCGATCTGCTCGACACCTTATCATCCCTAGATCATCTACCGTTTAGAAACTGACACAATTCTCCCATTGCGTGTGTTTGTTTTTGTTATCATCAAATAAAAACAGAAATATTCAAAACTGATCTTAATAAAACTGTGCACAGTGAGTTATGAATAGGGATGTCAATTGGACGAATAGTATGGATTTGCACGTGTTCAGATAAGCCTATTTTTTCTGGTTTTTTTGGTTGGAGCAATAGCACCATGTCCAAACAGGACTACGACCAATTGAACTGTCCATAGAGTTTTGATATCCATTTAATGTAAAACTAGATTTTGATCCGCGCAATTGCGGAGATGTTTGTTTTCAATTTATATACATAGATCATTATTTTAGATCATTGGTGGTATACATTTTTAATGTTAATAATATATTTAAATATTTATACAACTATTTCAAATACAATAATTTATAGTTTACATATTATAATTAATCAATTGTTTAAAATCTTTACATGCATATGTCACTTTTTATTATATATTTATCTCATTATATTTTCATTTATTTATTGAAAAAATTAATATATACATGAAACAGCATATTTGAAAATTATTTTGTATTTAATTTATACCAAATTCTGACACACTGTCCTTCAAAGTTGATTTTCTTTTAGCAATATTTTTTACGTCTATTCATTTTATGTAATATATTATTGTATAAAAAAGTCTAAAATATGTTAATTTTTATACATGTATTATATAGTTTATGAATATTAAAAGAAATTGTCATCATATTATATTTTTACATAATATTTTATTTTTATAAAAATAAATATTTATATGACTTTAATTTGAAATTCTAATTATATTTTCTCATAATTTAAATTTAAATTAATTAATTCTCGATCTGTTAGCTTTAATCTAGAATCGTGGTTGCGAGAGAGCAAGAGGAGAAGAAGAGAGACGGTGTTGATTTTTAGGATTTGATTTTTTCCCAAATACTAACCCTAAATATTTTAAAATATAGGCGGCCCAGGTCCATCTGATTTTTTCCATTGGATTTTGGGAGTATCTAGACATAGTCTATTTGGACAGAAAATATTTTAGACAGATTTGGACGTAACCATATTAGTCCATAACGATTTGGACATGGACCGCGCATGGATAATATGCCCAATTGACATCCCTAGTTATGAACAACCTTCCATTGAAATTGTGAGCAAACGGAAAGGAGACATTTACATTTTTGTTTTTGCCTATTATAATGCAGACATTTCCTTATATAATATTTTTATGTCTTAATATGAAAATGGTTTATGGTTTAAAGCTGCAGTTGTTATCATATATCTACATCTATATTCTATTAAAACAAAAGTACAAAATATAACTTACCAAATTTTAAGTATTCTATTACGTTATTTATTTTTCATTTTTCACTCATATGAATGCATTTTTCATTTTTAATAATATGTTCACACTGTATTTTTTAATATGCTGACGTGTCATCCTCACAATTGTTTAACAATTAATACATCACACCTTATTTTTTTTAGCTACACTGCAGACAATTTAATGTGTTCACATTCTATTTTTTTTTCAATCAGCTCATTTTTAGTTCATGCATTTCTAACATTTGTAATAGTGAAATGAAATTAATCAGAATTCCCTTTGTACAACTACTGAATAATATCATTTTAAAAGAAATAAATAAAAAATCATTAAGATATACATCAAATAAAATGTTGAAATGATAATGTTCTTAGAAAATGTAAAATTTCATATTTTATGGTTGAGATTTCTGTTCACGAAAGCAATAAATAATTGTGATTTGTTATGAATTAAGAAAACTGAAATAAAATACACTACAGACGAAGCCGGATCTTTAGTTTAGCCAAGTATTAATTTTCTTTACGAAGTTTTCATATCATACCAAAAATAGAAACATAATCAGATAACTAGAAAAAATCAAAGATAAGAAAAGTTTTAAAATAAAAAAAAATAGTGATATCGAATGAAAACAGAATTAGGTGCTGAGTGAAGAGATCATATTATTCCACACATAACTGTAGCCCATTTCTCTAGATTGTATAATGTTTTTACTATAGTTTCCAAGAGATTTTTATAAGACAATACACATTATTAGTTACAACATACTTCAGTTTTGCAACATGCCCAACAATATTGAAACGACGTCCAATCATTTTTATTATTCTTAAAGTATAGTCTAATGATTATGAATATTAAATAAGCCAAGATATTTGTTTTACATTTATTTTTCTTTATATTAGTAGGAGAAAGTAAGTATGGATAAATATATGGATCCTATGAACTAAACTGAACTAGATTTAAAAGTAATATTAACTAAAACTAATTAAGTAATCAAATGGTTCTAAAATTTTAATAT